CTATTCAGTACACAGCCATGGGTTACTGCAAAGGAAGGGCAGAGAGACGGCGTGTTAGCCACAGATTGTTGCCAGGGCACCTCTAGCTCTCACTTTGTCACTGGCCAAACACCAAAGGCCACTGCCCCTATTGGCCCTGACAATGGAGGGCTGGCTACTTCACAAGGGTTCCCAACTGCACCTATAGATGGGACCTTTTATCAAAATGAGGGCTGGAATATTTTTTAAGTATCAAATCCTTGGACTGGAGATAAAGTTCAGAATTTTTTCAAGTATAACATCTCTTTTCTACCACCACCCCTCTTTTTATTAGGGGACATGTGCAAAATGCATATCAAAAAATCATCTTCACATTGACCATATAAATAGAGACTGGAGGACTCATGACAGCAAACCCAAAAACAATGAAGTCTTTGCCCACTCAGTTTCAGGTTATGAAGTGGGATTATTATCCATGGTATTACCAAAACCAAAATCAAACTTACTTCCCTTGAGTCTGTCCCCACTCATAGTGACCTCTCCTTGGGTTTCCGAGGCAGCCTCTCTATGGAAATAGATTGCCCAGTCTTCCTTCCATGGAGTGGCTGTTGGGTTTGAACCTCCAGCTTTCTGGTTAACAGTCAAATGCCTTAGGCACTGTGCTACCAGAGCTCCCATACTTGGTATTGGCCCAACCTAGCTGGGACGGGGTGGCGACCTATTGGAAAGTGCAGAGGAGTTTCTGGAACCTCTCAGAAGAATTCTATAAGTCTATAATTCAAGACACTAGGCTGGTAATAACATTCAGGTTTATTCTCCCTTCTGCATCCATGGAGTACCCAGAGTTAAAGAGAGGAGAGATGTATGGAATTTTCTCCAGCAGTTGTGTTTTAGTAGAAAGGCTGGGTATAAGTAAATTCATCTGGATTTTGAACAAAACTTGAGGGCCAGTTTGAATGAATCGAAGCTGGAAAGGGCCTGAAGGAAGAGGCACTAGAGGGTCTCCTTTGGGGGAGCTCTTAGTCGACATGGAGTCCACTCCGACCCCTGGCGACCTCATGTGTGTCAGAGTAGAACTGTGCTCCACAGGAGTTTCAATGTCTGATTTTTCAGAAGTAGTTCATCAGGCCATTTTGGGTAGACTCAAGAAGGGGCTGTGGCACCTGGGGTCGGGGTATCAGGGAAGACCAGTGACTGGGGTACAGGAAACTGAGGGGGGAAGCCGTGCTGATAAGTGATTACCCAGCCATGGTGGATGCAAATCCATGAGAAACAAGCAGCAATCAGAGTTCGAGCAGGGAAGCTGGTGGGACCCCTGAACATGTTACAGTCTGGCAAAGCAAGGGATGGTTGGCTGGGGGTGCTGGGAACAGGACTGGGATGGGGGGTGCATCTCCAAGCCATGTGACTGCTGGCTTCTTGACCAGAGGCCAGACACCATCCTCAGACTCTCAGGCTTCTATGAACCTTGACAGGAAGTGGGGGCGGGCACGGGATGTATGCCTCCCCAACTGTGTTAAAAGGGAATTAGAAAAGGGGAGGCCCAGCTCTGTTGCGCAGGGGAAGGGCGTCTACAGGAAGCCCAAACTGAAAATGAAAAGAGAAGTTGGGTTAACGAATGGATGGATTAATGTACCAAAAAAAAAAAAAAAAAAGAAGAAGAAAATTGTTTAAGTCATGATGACGAATAGATAAATTAGAATATAGCTATGTTTGATGGTCTTAAGATCTTATTGCACTGGCTCCTGGGAACATTCCTTCTCGCTCATACACCCACACACATCCCTGAATGGCAGCGGTAGTGCTAATAGCTAGCATAACAATGATCAACAACCACAAAAACACTTTCTATCTCTTTTTTACTACAGAACCAGTTGACATGGAGTCAATTCCTAGTCATGGCAACTCCATGTGTGTCAGAGTAGACCTTTCAGTAAACCATTTGCACCTCCCAGGTACTCCTGTGCAGAAATACCTTTAGCAAGTCACCAGATGGCCTCAGGCCACTGGATAGAGCGCCAGGCTCTCAGCCACTGCATTTCCTTGTTCAATAGGAAAAACTGGGTATTTGAGGGTTCACCTCAGGTAGCCTATAGAGCAGTCCTGGTTGGTTAACTGATACCCCAGGGGCAAGACCTGTTTGAGAAGTGTCTGGGGATGGTCCCTAGATGCTGCCCTAGGGTCCAGAGCAGAGCACAATTACCTAAAAACTTGAGCTTCGGAAACACATTTTGTGTTCATATAACACTTTGAATTTAATTCCATTTAAACTGCATCCCTGTGACATAAATATGGCAAGCAGTATCAATCCCCATTGGACATCCGAGGAAAGTGAGAAACAGAGGTGTCAACTGATTTGTCCGTGGTCTCAAAGACAGAGTCACAGACATAGTCAGAGCCTAAGTCCCTTGGCTGTTTAATAGTACTCTTTCCATAATACCAGTGTCCCTGAGAAGGCCTTGCTTGCGGATTTAAGCCCCTGTTTGTTAGTTGAAAAATACATTCATCCCACTAGATAGACTACTAGATATTTTGGGCAGAGAGACAGTTAAAAGCACATCCCCGGGTGGTACAAATGGTTAATGCACTCAAGGTGCTAACTGTTTGAATCCACCTAAATGTGCCTTGGAAGAAAGGCCTGTCAATGTACTTCTGAAAAATTAGCCATTGAAAACCCTGTGGAGCACAGTTCTACTCTGACACATGGGGCCGCCGTGCATCAAAATCAACTCCACAGCAATTGGTTTGGCTTAGTTTGTTTTCAGTTAAAAGCACATAGATAA